GGCTATGGAGGAACGAACACTTGTGATCGGACCTTCGACCCAGTGGTGATTGGGCTTACACGAGTACCCTGCCCTCTGCCCTCAATCCTGAAGACTAAAGACTTATCTACCCGCGCGGAATTGCAAGTTCTTTAACCTAGAATGAACTTGTGCAAAATATTCCCCACTTGGCTCGAGTTATGACCAGTACAATTCTGAACTAGAAAACAAAATCGAAGCATTCGATTCAATTTTCTTCAATTCGCAAGCTTACTTCTAATGATTAAGTATTCGTATGTACCAATTTTCACCATGTATAATGCCATATCTGATTGAGACTTAAGATATTTTTTAAATACAGGATGAATTCCTCGCGTAAATGAGGTGTGAGCTGAAAAGCTGGGAAGCACTGGATAGGTGTTTCGACCTGGTTGGGTCTCACCAGCAGTGCTAATCCATCGACCCAACTGGGGATCGAACCCGGGACCTCGGGGGTAGAGCATACGCATACTACCCACTCGGCCAACGAGGAGCTGGTCAGAACGCTTCTCATTTCTAATATACATCAAACTCACCTCGATGCACTCTTCAACAATGTAGTAAATGATGAACAGCATGAAGAAGATTTCACAAGCCATGACAAAATAGTCCATTGAAGTCATGTAGCGCACGAGTTTCGCCGCCTGAAATTCGTTCCCCACAAAAACGCCACCGGTGTACGGCATTTCGAATATTAATCTACAGATAAGGAACAGACAGATATACGCATGTAAAGTGTCCAGGTTCCAAGTTTTAGAAATAAACGAATAAAATAAAGGTGACAGTGGTTTTGAAGATGAAAAATTTGGACGGAACATTGAAAAAAGCAGACCATTCCACAAATGTACGTCGATTTCTGCGATCAATTTTATTAATAAATCGATGACGTTTTCAGAGTTATAAAGTGCACAACCTATTTGAACCAATAAAAACTGGGGTTCTTGGGTGGTTCAAAGCTCCGTAACAACGCCAGCCAAGATGCGTCCGACACAACTTCAGGTTGACCAATGCGAAATTGGTTTTCATTGACCGATCACTACTCGCCTGGTTCAAATAAGAATTATGTATCCAGAAAAGGCATAAAATACGATTAGTCAATATTGCTTCGGCTAATATTCTTTTGCACATTTTTTCATCGCATTTGTTTCGTTCAATAAACTAACTAATGGCCTTATTCCGACGTCTATGTGTCACGTATCTCAGTAGACGATTAAGACGGTGCCGGGATGAGATAAGTTATTTATTTTGAATAACGAGTCTTCGGAATTCCCACACACACAGTATAGGTAACGGAACGGTAAAACGGTAGATGCGCATTCTTTTAGTCACCGTGCTGAGAACAGCAAATCATTTCAACAAGCCTTGTTCATTTTTGACCGTTGAAAAAAACCGCCAATCGCATTCTTTTGTGAACTACTCACAAATGTGAATAGTACATCACAACACCACTACTATTTCATTTTTCAGTTATGATTGTCATTCTGATTCCGGATTTGCCTTCATTACTATTACCACAGATTCTTTACTTCCTTGAACATGAGTTATCGTAAGCAGTTCAGATGTGACAGGTTTTGGCAATGTCAATACGCGTCCCGATCTTCGCGATTCGATTGAGACTAAACAATTTGATGAACCCTGTAGGGTCCTCATTCGTCTTCCCAGCTGAATATAGTCCGTTTTATTCATAAATGACGACCTTCCAAAAAGAAACGGAACCAAGTTTCGTATTTTCCATGACTATTTGCAGATATCAGAGTCTGTGTATTGTCTTTTTGTACGTGCCCCGTTTCCAACAGATGACGTGGAAACGAGGCATGAAGAAATGCATGGAACTATTAGGTAGAATATGTGTCTCCCGTCCAAGAGATTCTGCAACTGATTGGTCGGAGACGCTGAGGGATATGGTAACTAACCGACAGCAGTGGCGTTGTTGTTGTCATTTCATATCAGGTCAGGATGCTTGTAAAGGTATGTATGCACATTTAGATTGTGTACTCTGTGTGTTGACCACAGAGGTTCACTTTCTTTATCTGCCTCCAATTTGGCCCAACCCCTCTACATATTGTGCACATTGTGAGCTTGATAGCGATCAGTGAAGTTCGCTTCACTGTATCTCACTGTATGATGATGATGATGATAATTTTTGTACGTTAAAATGTTCGCAATTATTGAATATCGGTTGGTACATTCTAAGTGCAATTGATTTTTGGATGTGTGTGTATGTGTGTTGATCCAGATGATCATTGGACAATTTCATCGTTCTCATTGGAAATCGTCAGCAGTGTTTGTGAACCTACCAGTAACAATTTCGACCCTCTGATGTTATTTTGGAAGATAATTAAGCGATATTTACTCCTTTTTGACCAATGAAAAGAGTCAGAGACCTGGTTGAATTTGAGACCAGGCCTGATAAACGTTTCACAGCTTACAAGGTACCCGTTGAGCTGTGAGGGTATAAGAACAGTCATTTCGAAGCCGACAGGTGTGCTATTTTCACAGTTTACCACTTACTCAGATAGCAGAACCACGCGGAATCCCCTTATTAGCATGCAAGCTAGCTGCTTGGTTAAACTCTTCGGTTTACAGTTCCAATAGGATATTTTACATGTTGGTCTATATCATCCTTGAAGGGAAAACGGTAATCGGTTATGGTCTTATACCTGCCAACTTATCAGCCCTTATCTGAGACGTAAAGCAACACAGGCTTTTAACCTCGAGCGGCCATGTCCTACGAATGAGAAAGTTCAAGTGACCACTAACTGCGTCCTTCTAGGTGATGCACTGACTAAGGGGAACATAAATGCTGTCACTGAAGCCCTTTGGTGTCAGGCCTTTCCCATACAAATTCTGGTTGCCATGACCATATGCAGTGATGCAATGCAGACTACAACTGCTAAAACGGATTTTTGACCAAAATGTGTTCATGCACTGTTGAGTATGTGCGCATGTATACACCATGGTTATGTTATCTCCACAATTGCGCATATGCGCATATGTCTGATCGGTTGTTTGATTGGGTGAATTCCGGGTGACCTCTCAACAATGCTACTGCTTCGTCTGAGCGTCGGATCCTATTAAGATCACGCGAAGCCTGCTCATTCGCGATCAAACTAAGTTTAAGGGACGAAGGGGTGCCGTATCTCTTTTGGATGAGACAAAGATAAAAGCGACTTCCTTGTGTGCATAGTACTTGTGTAAGCCCAATAGGCGAAAGAGGCCTACTCGGTCAACGAAGTCAATTTTTCTGTTCCTCACTGGGGCAGTGGTGTGCGTCCATCCATATTCCAGCACTGCTCTACATGCTGATCTATGATGCTCGCATACACATTCTACGAAATCCGTTCTCTATCGAGAAATAGCTCACCTGACTTACCTTCTGCTACTTGTATGTACATAGGCGCAAAATCACCTAAAACAATGTGATTCGTCAAACCCACTCTCAATTAGGGCTTGTCAAAACCTGTGGTATTTGCGACCGTCTAGCCATGCTCATTGAACGTTATTTGAGTTGTTTCCAACCAAAGATCGTTTTGTTTTTCTTCATCCTGCTTCATGAACCAATGCATGTATGTTTTATGATCTATACACTTGCAATTGCAGCGAGATATGACTTTCCCGAAGTTGTATAATACATGGTGGTTGGGTTATTGATTTTGTACTTCGAAAAATATCACTTTTACCACAGTTGCGCCTTTGTAGGGTTGTGAGGTTTGACTCCGCGCCATTCTTTTGTAAGTATCTGCTACACACACCACTCACGAGCAACTGTTGATTTGAATTGATTAGCACACTGTGCCATGATGATAGCTATCTTTTACTTTATTGTGCACCCAAACGCCAACAGTATTAAAGAACGGAGACTAGTAGATGGCTTGTGGTGAAATGCCAACTCATAGCTTAGGAGCTGATGCATTTATAACTTGTACCAAGTAATGGGAAACTAGCTCACAATGTGCGTACTTGGATATCTCGGTGGTGTCGAAAATCTTTTCTTAGGATAAAATGTAACCTGTGGCTTCCTTGGTCATATAAAAAGGTCGCCATAGGTGTGATGTACACAGTGATAACGATCATCCTTTCCATATGAAGAGTCTTAAATTAAAAACCCGGATGGTGAGGATGGAAACGTATTTCGCATGAGGTCCCACTGGAGAGAACTGCAAATATGCTATTTTCGAAGTGTAATGACGGCTTGAAACAACCACAAACCTGGTTCTACAGATTAAGTCTGAAATATGATCAAAAACATCAATAGCACTTATTCCACACCCCTAATCTTGAGTGAATATGAGCTAAGCATGAAGATATCAATTCGTCTATGAAAAAATTTATTTTCTTAAAAACGAAGCTTGTCCGCTAAGCATATCATCATTTGGTTGTCATTTTGCCACAAACCTTACCAGCTATTTATCTGGGTCAAGTTAAATCATAAATAAATTTCATTCATCCACTGTGGACAAATTTTCTACGAAGAAAGTTACCATAATAGCTTTGGCGTAGGATGAAAGTAAAATCGGTACATAGTTATAAAGTACTGTGTAAAGCGGCAGAGAGAAAGAAAGGAGTTCGTGCCAAGGGTGCGCTTTCAAGTAAAACAGTAGAGCACTTCTGTCAGTTCATTGTGTAATCTCTCATACAAAGCAGCTAACAATAAAGTTGAAACTGAACGGGGTTTGAAAGGCCTTGATAGGCGTATGCGAAGGTTTAGGTTCGCACAAGGAAACGAGGGTATGGAGTGACCGAGTGCGTGTCGCACGTGAAGCATGTAAAGAGTCAACTAGAATTGAGTCCCACAGACGCTTACAAGCTTCAAGGTGTTGATTGCTGATGATTGCTGGCGTTGCGCGAAAAATTACTTCATAACTAGATAAAAGTGACTTTCGACGTTAGCAGAAAGGACAGTGGACTCAGTAATAAGAGTATTGGGAACAGGGGATAAGGTGGCTTAGGTTTTATGAACAGTAGAAGTCCGGCACACACAGTGATCGGAAAACCGATGATCGGTTTTTTATTCGTACCCATCCTGTTCATTTTGTGTGTAATAATTTTTAATTTCCCGGATGAAATATCACCATCTAAACAGGGGGCGAGAGAGGATTGGATATGGAGAGCTGGGAGTGTCAGCCATAATGGAGTTAAACAAGCGTTCACAAACTGCAATTTGTAGATTTATAATGAAATCAACAAGTGCTGACCACGAAACACCTTCGTAATGGAAATGCTATGTAGAAAACTTTACTGTAGAATTTCAAAAATAAAGATTATCGGAGGAAAACAAGTTCAGTGACATAAAAATCAAGAATGAATTAATTTATAAATCAAATGACAAATCCCGTGGTACAAGCAAGAAACGTAAAACGCCAGCTTTCCGGCTTGAAAAATTTGAGTGCACGTGATAAATCCGCTTAAATTCGATGAAAATAGAACATCCAAGGCATTTGAACTAATGTACCCTTTCAACAATTGAACAATTGATGCTAATAGTATTGGGAAATCATTTGTAAAGTCATTTCGCGGGCACCACCACCACGGCTGTTGTACTTACTTCACAATCACAAACATGTTGATATTCCCGTTGTAAATTGTGAAATCCACAAACAGAACACGTGTTGCTTGATCTATCCACAACCCCTGGAATAGTTCGTCCAGAATTGCCA